GAGTTTAGCATATAAAAGAGGTTGATAAAATGTTTTGAAGTAGTTTGTTTGATAATCATGCAAGGAAACCACCCTAGGGACTAGGAAGCACTTAGATTGAAGTGTTACAATCATATGTGATTGGATTAAGGGGATTTACAACCACACAAAGGGGTTCACGCCCATGGAGTTTACGACCAAGGTGTTTACGGCCAATGAAGTTTACGGCCTAAGAAGATCATGGGGAGGGTTTTCGGTTAATGTTGTTCACGGCCCATGGTGTTCTTGAGAAGGGTTTACGGCCAAAAGAGATGCTCATGGTCGTAAACTCTTGATGATCCATCAAAAATGGTTGATTTCAAGGGTGTAATTCAAGCTTCTAATGGGAAACTAGTATATGGAAAGGATACTTACGTTTTTAAGCTTGAAGGGGTGTTCACGGCCACCAAGAACTAGTGTGTGTTCTTGGTGTTCTTGGTGAAATTTGATGATCTTGAAGATCTAACCAATAGAGGTAATTTCATGGGTGAAATCATGGAGTTTCACTAGATTAAGCAAGGTATCAACTAAACAATGGAAGAAACACTTACATATTGGAAGATTAAGATGAAAACACTTGATGATACTTGAGAGAGAATCAATTTTGTAGACTTGGAAGTGTGAGAAGTGGTGAAAAATGAAGGAATGTCATATATGTGAGAGGAGTTCACGGCCAGCCAAGGGTTTACGGTCGTAAACCCTAGTTTACGGCTGTAAACTCCAATACTTGGAGTTTTCCGGCTTGTATGCTACACACTGAGCTCTAGTTAACTCATCCATAAACCCAAACCATGAATGTACTAGGCTTAGAACACTCAAACAGACCCTAAACAATGCTAAAAGATAGCAAAAACAAGTCTGACATTAGATTGAACTAACTGACTTTACAATATAGAAATTTCGGATTGTCACACTACTCGACAATGAGAATGTGACAGATTTGTGGTTCACTCACGGATTCCTTCAGATGATTTAGGCCAGGGCGGGTCAGTCTCAAGAACGTAAGTAGGCCATAGTACGACTGGATTCGGGAAACAGTAGGTCGTTAGAGACCAGGCGTGATATAAGACTACAGTGGTACTAGTAGCATTCACCTTTTTACATCGGATTCAGTGACGACAAGTTGTCAGCCTATCATGATCGGAGGGATCAAAAGGATTAAAGGAGACATGAGTTGCGGTATAGATAGGGCAGTTATTGTCAAACGGTGTATTCTTTGGAGGTCGCGTGGGGCGAATGCAACTCAACAACCGGTTAGGAATCTGATATTTCCAATAGTGGCGATATGGTGTTTCGAGTAGCGGAAGTGATTGGGATCCTTATGTGGAATAGTCGTTGACCGGGAGATGCTAAACCACTTGCAGTGGGATTAAATAATCTCAAAGTAATCGATTTGACTCTGTTGTACAGCTCTCGTCTGAGTCTAACCGTTGCAGAGATGGATCCTCTACTCGAAGGATTATTTGGACTATATGTTAAGATGGGCGTTCGGCATCTGGACATGGCAATTGAATTCATTCGATTGGTAACACTGAGATAACCAGGACCAGAAGTGGTTGTTCGATCAGTTATCTATGAAGGAGAATTGTACGGTAGGGTTCCAGTGTGGGAGGTCTGTCGAGGAGTCAGACCAATATGAGGTCTAAGGATCTGGGGAGGCAGGAGTAGTTTCCTATATGAGACGAAGGATTTATCCTTTTTCGGGATTAAAGAGAGTCTGGTTTGGTTGGTTTCGGTTTCCTTGGGAAGGTTGTGGTATTTACGGGATTTTGGCGGTGTTGCTCAGGTTGCCTGGTATGCTGGGGATGGTAGTGAATGATTTCGAGGATGAAGTCCAATTTAGGTGGGGGAGAGGTGTAACGTCCTGTTCCGAATCAATTCCTAATTCGAGGCTATGGCCCGAAGAGCGGTCATCATAAGGATTAGGGCCTTTAAAAGGTAATATTTATGCCCATTTGGATGTGGATAATGTGGATATGTGACCCAATAGTTCGGTTTGCACTTTGGAGTCAAAGAATAACATGGGAATATAGTGTTTTGGACTTCTTTTATGAATTATGGATTTTAGTTCGATGTGTTTTAATTCAAGAGTAATTAGATAGGGTTGTAGAGCTCCTCAATACCTTTCCGTGGATATAAAGAACGTCGAAAACGGAGTTAGAACGAAAAAGTTATGACCGTTTGAAGTTTGGATAGTTTGGGGCCAAGTTGAGTATGTTGGGTGTACAAAAAGGTGTACGCCGGAACCAAATGACTTATAGTCTTTAGTTAGGGGTGGAAAATCAAACAACTATGTCGTGTTTTTTTTCTGAAATAATACGACATGACAATGTTTTATATAACACGAACACGAAACGACACGATGTCGTGTTTTTTTAACTAACACAAAAACGAATCAATTAAAAAACAACAAACACGATACGACACGATAAAGATAAAATAAAATAAAAATTAGTTTATTTAATTAATACTTAATAATACGTAACACAATAAACATGAAAAATAAATATTAAATCGTGTCAATTTTGTATCGAATTTTGAACACAAACATGACACGCCATCATGTTTTTTTTATATTTAACATGAACACGAATTCGAATTTCAGTTTCGTCTTAATTTTGTTTTGTATCATGTATTTTTATTGTGTCGTGTCATGAATTGATACCCCTACATTTTAACTACTCAAACTTTGTTAGGTCTCCATATATAATAAAAATATTGGTGAGTAGTGCTTCACTTTTGGCATATGAGATAAAACGAATGCTTTTACTCTGTGAAAGCACACACACATCTATATGTTGTATATAATACATCTTATAGTGATTTTATAAAATTCATTTTAGCTCAGATATATCTGTTTGGATTTATTCAGATTAAAACAAGAGATAACTAATCACAACAATTTTTTTGTGAAATTTGTATACGAGAGATAGAAACTGTCATTTATCGAGAAGGTTTACCTACATTGTTATCTTCCTTTTTCGTAGATTTTGTTATTTGACATATAAAAATTTATGTTTATATCATACGTATCCTTATTGTATATATTATGAGACATTTTATACAACTTATACCCATAAGTCAACATGTTTTTTTACCTTTTTTTAGTTTGACTATTGATGTTTTCAATTACTCATTAAACTTTTTTCAACATTTTATTTCTCAAAACTGTTAGGGAAAAAGAAATAAGAAATAAGAAAATATGAAATGAAGATTTTGTCGTCAAATAGCTCTCCGATACCAATGATACAGTTAGCACAGTAAAAAAACAAAAAAAGAACAAAAAAAAATATTGTCATCTGCAAAACCTCATGTACGTCCAGTTATCATCATTATCGATGAATAACAGCCTGGTGGTACTAGGAGTAAATTCGTTGAAAGAATAGGGGTATAACTGTAACTTTGAAATAGATATATGAAATCAAGGCGGCTTTGTAATTCGTAAACTTGGAAAGAATCACGTGAGTCAACTTCAATCCAGTTTAGCTGAGCTGTCAGTGTACAAGTGTCAAGCGTGTCACGTCGCCGTTAGGTGGTGACGTTACCCTTTTAGCATATATTTTTTTTAACAAAGAGTAACGAGAATAATTTATTGGATGATGTTAGTATTTAGGATTTATTGCATTTTAGTCCCTGAACTTTCCTTATAACCTATCTTTTTCCCACTATAGTTTCAAGATTTTGCAATCAATTTTTGATTAATCATTGAATTAGGGTTATGTTTCCGTTGCATTTTTTCACCGCTATTATCGGAGTTTTTGCACTAACATAGTACTTGTAACAAATATTTATTAAATTATTTGTGAGAACTATGTAGTGCATGAGTTTTATATATATATATATATATATATATATATATATATATATATATATATATATATATATATATATATTCATTCAGGTTCATTTGAGACCATTCTAATTTTGTGAGACCGTGACACCAAATCTAAAAATAATTTTAAAATGTAAAATAAATGAAAAAATCCAAAAAAAAAATTAATTATTATTTTCGGAACTTGAATTAACTAAAAAAAATAAATAAATAAAAATCCCGTTTTTTTTTTTTTTTGAAAAGTAAATGAAATATTCTAAATAGAATATTACACTGAATATTCTAAAAAATAATTTTAAAATGCAAAATAAATGGAAAAATAAAAAAATTCTTTTTTTAAATATTATTTTCAGAACTTGAATTAACTAAAAAAAATTAAAATAAAAAATAAAAAAAAAATTAAAAAATACATCTCACGATCTTACAAAATTAGGCCGTCTCACATGAACCTATATATATATATATATATATATATATATATATATATATATATATATATATATATATATATATATATATGGGAAAAGTAAATATACCTTTAAGGATATATAAGCTTAGGTACCCAAACTCACCATACTACGTCATTTTGTATTATATATATACATTGTAATTGTCTAATGTTCTTATAATTCAACTTCTAACTTGATTTCATTCAAAGATTTTTATAAATTTCACATTTATTTTCCTCTTACTTAATTTTCATTTTCAACTATAATATATATAACCTAATTGATGTTCGTCAAAAAGATGTGATGTAAGAGGAAGATAATAATGTAATTTTGAAAATCTTGAAAGTAAATCAAGTTAAGGATTGAAGTTGAAGAACATTATAATAAATATATCAAATAAAATGACGTATTATGGTGAGTTTGGGTACCTAAGCTTATATACCCTTAAGGGTATATTCACTTTTCCTTATATATATATATATATATATATATATATATATATATATATATATATATATATATATATATATATATATATATATATATATATATATATATATATCAAAATATTTGAAAACTGACTTTATAAATTTATAAGCTCAATGCAACAAATTTTTTTGTTCAAAATTCGATTAATATTTTATCCTTAGTCTACGAGACATATTTTGTGAAATAATGACATGGCAGGAAAAGAAAAAACATATTGAAAAAACTCATATTTATAATGGATGCTCCATGTCAAATCAAATCATATGAATGCTAAATCCTTCAACTTTCCATACAACCAAAGCGCACAGAAAAAAGTTGTTGATACTTGATACAAACCTCAAACACCATCTGTGATGAAGAAACTAAAACACAAATACTGCAAGAAATAATAAAATAGGATGCCACGTCATCTTCAACTTGTTCCTTCCAAGATTAGTAAAGTCAACCAACCTGTATACAAAAATAATCGTAAGCTCCAATTAATAAGGCATCATCCTTCATGCAGGGATACCTGAACCTGCAAAACTAGAATATTATGTAAGATCACATTTCTTTCTTCATCATATTTATATTCCAATACAAAAATCAAATATATATATATTTTTTTTAATAAAAAAAAAACTATACATCATTATACAAATTCATCCCTACCACCCCAATGAAAGAATACAAAGGTTTCGAGAAACAAACATTTACCCTAAACTTCTACTTATACTTTTCTATTAAATCGATCTAATGAAGAAATAAGGAAAATGACCTAAACGCCCTTATCCCAACATTGACCAATTTGACTTGTGTTACTTGACCTTGGCTAATTTACTATCTCTTTTATTGCAAATTTAATCCACACGACATCCTACTTTTCATTTTGTTTCAATATATTTTCCTTTAAATATTTTCTTAATAAGGCATTGTACTTGAAAAAAATATATTTTTTTCTAATTATAGAATTGTAGTTTCAAATTGTTTTTCAAATGATGACCTTAGACATTGAAAAATATACATATTGCTTTGTATTTGGATTAGACTCCTATAAAGAAATGAATTGTTGAATGTTGTATTTTTTTCTTTTCCATGCATTTAATCCAGAAAAAAAAATGTAAATATAATTTTTTTTTTCAAGAACTTGAAATGCAAACAATCACATGTTTCAGGAGTCCTGGTGAACCTGTACCCTGTACTCCTGCACAGTGAAAAGTGGGTTGTAAGCTATATCTTTTTTAAAGCTAAATGCAAGAAATAGCAATCTACTTTTAACCTTATTTTTTTTTTTCCTTTTTCTTTTTTCTGTAAATTTTCAAGCATGATGCATGATTTATAATACGAAAAAAGAAAACAAGAGAATGAAGGAACAAACCAATCTAGTCATCATATTGCTGATGTGGCTGCTGACGTGGATCATAATACTCATCTCCATTTTGTTCATTACTATTATTATCAGTGGTGGTTTTAGGGCGGGAGTTGGCTTGTTCTCTTTCCCTATTCCATTGTTCAATCTTTGCCCTTCGTTCCGCACTGCCTTCCCTGACCGGACTACGGTTCCGTTTGCCGCCAGGGCTTCTGCTCCGGCCGCTGCTGCGTCGACCGGGGCTCCGGCTGCGGTGGCGGCGGCGGGAGTCGGTGTAATCACCGCTGGCTGCCCTTCTTCCGGAACTCCGGCCACCGCGCTCGTCGTAGCCACGGTGGCGATGGGGACTGTGGCTTCGGCTTCGGCTTCGGCTTCTTCTTCTTCGACTTCTTCCAAATAATTGCCTCCTTAACTCTCTGATGGAATCAAAGAAGGAATGGAATGGTTAATTCCATAGAAGTGAAGGAATGTGATTCCAACCATTTTGTTTGATTTTCAGGAAATTTTGTTTTATTTTAGGGTTAGTCTCATAAAAGACCTTATATTTTGAGTTTTTTTTTTTCTGGATTAAACCTCAAGTTTATTTTTTGTCTGGAAAAGACCTTGTATTTTTTTTCATTTTTTCCGATCCGACTCTTTTACTCATTTTCTCCGAAAAAAAATGTAAAATGTGAGTTTTTTCAGGAAACTAAAAAGTTGAGGATTTATTTGGAAACATTTAGAAGGTTGAGGGGTTTTTTTCAGAAAAAAAAAAAAAAAAAGATAAAGCTGAGGGTTTTTTCGGAAAAATGAAAAGATACAAGGTCTTTTTCAGGCAAAAAATAAAGTTGAGTTTTAATCCGGAAAAAACACCAAATATAAGGTCTTTTGTGATATTAACCCCAAAAAATGTAAAATGTGAGGGTTTTTTCAGGAAAAACTAAAAAACTTGAGAATTTATTTGGAGACATTTAGAGGGTTGAGGGTTTTTCGTAAAAAAAAAAAAAAAAAAAAAAAAAAAAAAAAAAAAAAGTTGAAGGTTTCTTTCAGAAAAAAATAATAAATATATGGTATTTTTCATGAAAAAAATAAAGATGAGGTTTAATCCGGAAAAAAACACAAAATATAAGGTCTTTTATAAGATTAACCCTTTATTTTAAGCATTGTATTTACATATTCTATAAAAATTATTATAAAGATTCATTCCCATTCTTGGAAGCCCACAAAACAAGATAATAGAAAGTAATAACTCATTCCATTCCATTATCTTGTAAATTCGATTGATTTGTCATTCCATTCCATCCAAACAAACTAACTAACTCTAACAAAATATATATATAAATAATAAAAACTTAAAGTAGAATAGAAAATAACAAAAAAACTGACCTACTGATCTTTTTTAAATGCATGAAGTTGCAATAACCACCACGATTGCATACATTTTCTTCATACTGCCTACATGTAGCTTCACGAAAATCTGTCACTGGAGAAAAGTCCACAATGATTGGACGCCCTGAAAAATATAAATTATTTTATGTTAAGACACTATATGATCAACTATTTATTAAATTCGATTAATTAACCATTCATAAATTGGATTTCAAGTTGTAATATCTTATGTTAGAGTAAATCTTGATGTGTGACTGTATTGATTCAAATGCTCTTAGAAGAAACACAAAACATATAGCTGTAATTGTAAATTTAAATAAGAAAAAGTGTATACCTGCATAAAACCTCCCAGTGAGATTTTGAAGAGCATTTGCAGCATGCTCTTCTTCCCTAAACTGGACATACACATTCCCCACCTGTTGATAAATAACAAGACTTGATTTAACAAGAATTTAAAATAGCATAATGAAATTGATCAATTTCAAGTAAGTTAATATTATAGTATTATACCATGTGGTCAGCCAAGTTGTCACATATGTTTAGGCTTTCAATCTCCCCATACTTACTCAGCTCTTCAAACAAATCTTCATAGAAATCCTGCATTAGAACAGTAGTTGTAAAGTGGGGAAACACAACAAATAAAATATATTTAAAACCTTAAAAAGGAAGAAAAATGGAGTATGAAATCCGTGGTAGAAAGTATAATATGTTTATCCACTAGTTGGCAAAGAATTTAATTACATTTCTCTCTTGTTTATTGAAAGAGCATAATAGCATCATTATATTAATGAGATGTAGAAACATAAAATATTTAATATAAGTGAAAACTTTATAATTATTCAACTTCTAATATTGAGTTCCATTCCATCAACCAAACATGTGAAGGATTACAATTTCTTCAACTTCCCATTAAGATTTCATTCCTTCCAGTAGCATTATGCATGTGTGCAAACTCCCTAAGAATAATAGCCACATTTACATGTAGAATTAGCTCACAAGTCATAAAGATACAAATGAACCTATCACCAAATTAACATCAAGGTAAAACAGCATGGAATGTATAAATGTATAATCAAATCGTATGTTCCTGCTTACAAGTTAAAACACCATTTAAGTATGAATTAGGAGAAATCTACGGGTATTCCTTATTCATACAAAAGAAAGTGCGTATCTTTCATCTAATCGTGTCCATTCATCTAACCAACTCACAAAACCAGGCCAGATGACAGCTAAAACAAAAATTAATATCTAACGCACGAAATCTATGATATAAACACATAACAAATCCAACATTACTGACACAATTCATAAAAATTAGGGTTAAAACCTCGAAGTGATCTTGGATTTTGCGAGGATCAAGGGGTTGACCCTGCGGATCAACACCTGGAGTGATGGAATCAGGACGCTGGTACATGTTGGAAAGCAATAGGGTGGGGCTGATGCTGGGTTTGGTGTGAAGCCTCGAGCATCTGTCGCCATGCCGACAAGCTCCGATCTTGAAGTAGAAGGGACAATTCACTCTGTCCTTTTCTGTACCGAAAATTGACGCCAAATGCTCCGCCATTCTTCGGTTGCTTTGAATACGAGTTGATTATTTGGAGATGTAGCAATTAGGGTTAGGGTTTATGTGGAAAGCATTAAGGTTCGCTTAATTACTTGTTCCACAACGATGGAAATTTGGGGGAGAAGGAAACTTTTGTGAAACGGCAGCTACTTATAATAGGTACCTTATTATAATATAAATAAATTAATTTCGAATATGCTCACATGAATAGCTGGTTTGCCCGAGTGGTTAAGGGGGAAGACTTAAGATCTTCTGCACATAAGTGCGCATGGGTTCGAACCCCATAGCCAGCAATCTTATCTTTTCTTATTTTTATTTCTTGCAAACTAACAATTTGATTTTATTAATCCAACTAAAGTATATCTAAAATAAACAAGTAGCCAAATAGATATATAAATGACACATATTTATACAATTTTAATGTTTAAATAATTATATCTTCTCCGACTTTATTAAACATTTTGTTTGTCGTGGTTATGTGGTTTTAATATCATAGCAAATGACAAAATGTATCAACATACTTTTATTAATGTTACGTTTGACATGTCATAAATAGTATGTCAAATATAAACTAAGTAGCAAACGATAAAATAGTTGAAACATTTTTATTGATATATCTTTTGTCCTAATCTTGATTATATGTAAGCGAGAGTTAAGAAACTAACGTGAAATAACATTCGTTCAATCACTTCTCTTCTCAGCTCTATCTATGGTTTCTACTTTCACATGTCTTCTGGCCTCTTAGTTGTTGATTTTGTCCCTTCGGCTCCTCCTTTTAGCATGATAATATTTAATATAGTTCTCATGATATAAATGCTACAAAATTATTGTTTATATGTTGGTTTTCTCTTAGATTGCAACTAAGGTTAACTTCAATATTTTTAAAACTCGAAGATAAATTAACTACAAACACTAATTTATTTCGTAAATTCAAACATAATATAATAATTGGTGTTCATTCATTTTCTAATGCATGTTATTATTTTTATAATTGATCTGAAATTACATATGGTTATTACATATTTTTATATGATATTTACGTATTATAGCAAAACTAGAATAATATGGTTATGAAAGTGTTTTTCTAAACAATTTAGAAAAATATTTTTTTGATTTTTCAAATGTATTTTATTGAAAAAATTGAAGAGTTTTAAAATTTTATAAAAGAAAGCAAATTTGTAGAAATGCTTATACGGTCTAAGAGATACATTTTTAATGCAATTGTCAAAACGACGCACACCTCTAAGAGGCACGGTGCGTCTAGGACAAATTTTGTCTATAAATAACATCTTTTAGTTCATGCATTCTTCACACCTCAATTATCATTCTCTCTCGATTTTCTTCTTCATTAGCCTGAGAAATCTTAGTGTTTAGGGTATTTTGGTGAAGCTCTGAGGTCCTGGAGTGCCCAACATTAGTAGCTAACAAGTTGGAGTTTTGTCAGTGCAATTTTCGGACTTATGTAAGGAAAATCTTTGTAAGTTAAGCTACAATTATTTTGTTTTCAGTGTAACTTGTATTTATATGCATAGTCGTTGTTATGAATTTATAAATAAAATTTATCAGTGATTCCAAATCATTATACTGATTGATCTACTTACGGGGGGTGATGTCTAGGCTAGATTTAGTGAGGTGTTTAAAGTGGGATTTTCAAACAATATACTATGTATATCAAACGGATCCTACCTCTGATATGATGTTACATGGTTGCTCCTTACTTGATAGATCTTGATGTAGACATTGAGATTGTTGATGAATCTAGACTATTAAATTAGCCATAAGAAATATTACACTAAGACTTAGTGATAATTGAATCTAGGTCACATCCAAGGAAAAGCTAAGTGATGAAGCGAAGCATTGTCCAATTTACAACCATCTATTTTATCATGTGAGTGCATAGTTACTTTCAGCTTACACATAAATATAAAGTATCTAGAAGATTAAATGTTATGTATGCCTATTATCTGCATTACTTGGTATCTATGATATATAATTATGATTTTACCAACTTTAATCGTATATGTATTTTCGTATAAAAAATATATCAGGTAGTGATGGGTAATGAAAGATGAAATAATGAGATGATGATGAGAAGCCTTGACTTTTGATGAACCACTCATCTACCAGAGTACATATGACGACCACAGACTATTCTAGACAGTCTAGTGGAACGCTATCAAGCTTACAACATGTAGGTGTTAATGAACTATTTTTTCAGTTGATGTACTCCATCCCCCCTTGATTGCCTTATTAACATATAGTGCTAAGGGAATCCTCCAAGCAATATTGTCTCCCAGTTGTTGATGATGATCCTTAGGATAGGTCCCTTGAGGTTAATATTTTAGGATCAATATGTGAGAATAACAAGAATGGGTAACCAGGTAAATTATTTGATGTGAAATATATAATCAAATAACTTAATTAATGTGCGTTGAAAACCATATATGCTCACCAGGCTCCCAAACATGACCCACTCAGTTTATGTGTATCACGGGTAGTGGTACGAAAGCACATGGATGATGAGAGATTTGAGGAGTTTGTAGGTCATTAGTATAATAAGATTTTGTAAGGCCTATTAAGACTTGTTTGTACTTATGTATTTGTATTGACGATGACATCCCTGTTAGGTTATGAGCAAAACATCTTCTATATTGCACATGCAAATTAACCCTAAAGCTTTGGATCTAGGTTTTTCTAATTGTACATGCAATAATCATCCAAAGCTTACAAACCATAATACTAGCATACAAAAATCGAAATCAACATCTAATAAACAAGTTAGAATGTTACCTTTATTTGTAGCTAAATGACCTTGAGCTTTTGAGAACCTAGCACCTCAAATGTGATGCCTCAAATAGATCATAAACACCAAAGCAATTGGAGAATCTTAGAGAGAGAGAGAGAGAGGGAGGAGGCTCAACATCGGCTAGTTGTCCTTCTTAGGGTTCAAGTGGCTAATTTTAGCTATCCTAAGGGTTCCTTATATAGCTGAGCAGTTAGGGTTTTAGTCAAAACCCTAATCTAGTTGCTTAGTCCTTAAGCAGCCCAAATGATCCTTCCAAAAGGCCCTTTGGACGATTTCTATGTGGACTCCCACATAGAATCTATCCATTGCTTCCTTATGGATCCTAAGCCCAACCTTGTAACTATCTTATAATTACAATATTAGTCCTATTGATTTAATTAATCTCTTTTGACCACAAAATCAATTCTAAATTAATTATTGACCAATATTAATTAAAAAACATGATTTCTCATTTAATATATTATTCATATAATATATTAATAAACCATAATAACCTCTTTCTCCATTATTCATCCAGTCAAGTTACTTTGGTGAAGGCAACCCAAAAGAACCATGCTACAACCGAGTCAAGTACATACCAAATATAGTTATGGGCTTAGAGACCTAATCCAACAGTCTCCCACTTGGATAAGTCTAATAACTATAAATGCAAGTACAACTTCAAAATTCGATTAGCAATCATAGCTCTCAAATGTCGTTGTCGAACTCTTACACATCCTTTAGATAAGGGATCTTATAATCCTCTGTTCTCAAGATATCGTGTGGACAATTACATGGAACATAGGCATACTTATTGTCCAACAGTTTGTTTCTCGATCTATGATTTGCCTGACATAGAACTTAACTGAACACATCAATTCAGTCCTGACCGGGCCCGTCACATAAGTCAAAACAAAATCATTGAGGGGCCCAAGATATCGCTTTTACCCTCGTAGGATAAATGGAATAGATAAACTTCGACTTATATGCTTGTACTATTTACTCATCAAATCGTACACAATAATACGTTTTATTACATCAAGTTACTAATGCGTTTATGCATTATCAATGCACAACCAACTCGTAAACAACAACTCATATATCTAGGTTTAAAGATTATATGATATTATCATCTCACAATCACTCGTGATTAAATTCCATGAAGTGATTCATGTGGGAGCGGGTCTAATCCAATACTCAAATCATATTTCATAAGCACTCATGAACGTTGCAACAAACTTTTTTTATGTCTAAACACTTACACAATCTACAAGCCAATTCATGACATTCTTCTTTCATACTTACTTCCAACGTATGATTAACTGTGGATAGTTTAAATAATCTTATTAGTTAGGAAGTTAAAACATGCAATGCGAAAAAATAGTAAATAATTGACACAAGATAGTAACATTACTTATAAATAAAACACCTTTATTTAATCATCAAAATGTCAATTACAATTTATATATTGCAAGCTTCTAAAAGCTATCTAATCACTAAAACTAATATCGTCCTTCAGCCCAATGATGCTAGCTTGCTACAAGTGCTTAACCCTACTTAGTCCCTTCGTAAGGGATATGTTGGGTTCTCCTCTAACGATGTCCTCTTTATTACGAGGAGTTCCTCTTCTACCCGATGTCTAATGAAATGATATTTTCTGTCGATATGCCTTGATCTGCCATGATCCCTCAATTCCTTGGTTAAGGCAACCGCACCTTCGTTATCGTAGAAAATCTCCATAGGCTCCTTTATGGCCGATACAGCTCCAAGGTCTCCAATGAAGTTCTTTATCCATATTGCCTCCTTTGACGCTTCGCTCGCTGCTATGTACTCTGATTCGCACATTGAATCAGCTACGGTATCCTGCTTGGAACTTTTCCAAGTCATTGCTCCTCCATTCATGGTAAAGACCCAGCCCGATTGAGAGCGTAAATTATCTTAGTCTGTCTGAAAACTGGCATCACTATACCCTCACACTCTTAAATCATCACTCCCACCGATGATAAGGAACCATTCCTTAGTCCTTCGTAGGTACATAAGAATATTCTTTACTGTGGTCCAATGTGCTCTACCAGGGTTCCCTTAATATTTGTTGACCATGCTCAAAGAGAAGGCCACATCAGGGCGAGTAAACATCATAGCATACATGATTGAGCCAACTGCAAAAGCATAAGGTACTCGGCTCATCTCTGCTATCTCGGCTTCGGTACTCGAGCTTTGAGTCTTACTTAACTTGGTATTGCTTTGGATTGTTAACTCTCCTTTCTTGGAATTCTCCATGCTAAAACGCTTTAACACTTTATCCAAGTATGTACTTTGACTAAGTCCT